AAATAATTTAAGTAAATAGTTAGCTATATTCTATTGTCTTTACAAAAAAATTAAACTGATAGGTTAGATAGTTTAAAACTAGTGGTAGAATTTCTATTCTTTAGATAGATCTCTTTAAAAATATATAACACATCTTAAGGATAAATAATATATTACTAAATATAAAAAATAGAATAGATTAGTATTTAGCTATAGTCTAGTATTATGATGATATTTGATATAAATCAAGATATTTACTATATATATATATCAATAAATAATAGATATCTAATATTCTTTTATTAAAAAAAAACATATTTTGATAATACTTTAATAATATATTAATATATATATACTGTATATATACAATTCAAAAATATCACACTCTTTCCTATTCACGTGTGGCGCAGTAACCTACACAAACGACTGAAAGATGACAGACAGAACTGGGAGCTCAAAAGCCCCACTAACTCCAAGAAATAACATCTCGGAAAGAACCTTAAGGTATGAAAAGAGAACAGGAACCACTCCACTTAGAAGCCAATCATACGCAAAGAAACCCACCAATACAACTGGCAAAACACAACCAACAAACAAGCAAGACCAACCAAACAACAACAACAACAGCCAAACCCGTCAAACAGAAAAGTCAACCAACACACCAATCCAAACAACAGAAACACAACCAGAACAAAGAAGCCAAAACTCAACAGGCACCACTTCCTCCTGGAGCGAGATAGTAGAATTAGAAAGAAGCGAAGAGCAACAACCCCTTTTCCCGGAACACAGTCAAGCCAACCAACCTGAAAGTATAGGAGAACCAAGCCATTATAGACACACAAGAATCGATGATATCGATGAAGAGATGGATGACACAACCGGCAACAACCCAGACAACAGCTGGTTTACTATTAGCAAAGGAAAGAAATCGACGGAACAGTACGGGAGACCAAGACCAAGATCCCCATTCGACAAAGCAACCAGATATGGCAGAGAAAGATACAAAGTCGGAATCGATGCTGACCTAGTCAAAGGAAGAACCAGCAATCAGAAAATTGAACACATCCTTCTTGCACTCAACTCACCTGAAGGACTCTTAGCAGTCCGCAGTGAAGGGAAAAATGAAAACATGAAAATTATCGCCATTTTTGGTGACCAACAAGCAGCAGATCACGCAACCTCCATAGACATTCCCGAAATGGAAGGTCACAAGCTTAAACACATGGAAATCAGACGCCAAGACATCAACAAAGGAAACTCTATTGTGGTCTGGGACATCCCCCTAAACACAAAACTCATTGAGATCAAACAAGCATTTTCCAAATTCGGGGAAATCATAGGAGTCACTGTAAGCACCCAGAACCTATGGCAATGTGCCACAATAACATTCAAGGAAAGATCAACCAAAGTGAACCTAATCGAAAAAAGAAGTATCCTTATCAAAGGGGACTCCGTCAGAACTAATGATGCAGAATGGTCTATCGGCCAAATGAAGGAAAGACACAAAATCACAGCAAAACTAACAAACCTGCCCCCCAACACAACAGCATGGGACCTTAAAAATATCCTAACACAGTGCAAGGGTCGTACATGCTACATCCCCAGAACAGCAACCACCTACTATAGAGCTAGACGGTTCGCAGTAATCAGTTTCGAAACACAGGAAGACCTCCTTGAAGCTGTCCAAGACAAATATATCCTAGGAGAAACAGAACTAAGTTTCACACCAATCGCTACCAAACTGTGCGCAATCTGCAATTCAACAAGTCACCTGGCCAAAGACTGCCCAATCAAACAACGCCGACAACAATGGCAAGAATACCACCAAGAACAAGCAACCAAATTCGGAGCAATTTATAACAAGTTCAGACCCGCCAAGACAGATAACATTCGCAACATTAACAGACCCAAACCCCAGGGACAAACCAGAGCAGGATCGTACGCAAACGCTCTCAAGACCCAAACACAACAGAGAGAAAACAATCCCAATTCCATGACAGAAATCATCGAAATTCTAAGACAAGTACAAAGAGACCTAACAGAAGTAAAGGAAAAAATCACAGAACTCGACGAACGCATTACTAACCTAGAATACCACAACGAAGAATATTACGAATCAATGGAAAGTGAACAGATCGAAGAACCCAAAGAAAAACAAACCCACCTTCAAAAACCCCAGGCAACACAGGAAAACAACATCGAAGACATCAAAGACCGACAAACACAACTATTCGCATCACTTGATGGAATGCAAGGAAGCATGAACCAAATCATAGCGACAATAGACACCTTAGCCAAAATTCCATCCCAACCAACTATCCACCCGAACATCAATGGGGAACACGAACAGTAGAAACACCTCTGAGTTGGAGGACCCCCCTACCAATGAAACGAATCTCCTAACAAATGAACAAATAGAAAACATCCTAACATGGTCAGATTCCGAAACATTCACCGATGACACAACAACAACAAAAACAGAAACAAGAAACCATCCCAACAACGAAATTTCAATTGTTCAAATACCAACAGAAACTACAACCAGCAAACCACACATCACCCAACATGCATCAACAACATCACAAGAATCAACTTCTACAATATCACAAGAATGGCATGCCACAACAGTAAATACCAGAGGTCTGAAATCTAATCCACTCAAAATAAAATTGTGGATAGATTGGATCATGAAATCAAAAGTAGAATCGATCAGATATGGATGTCTCCATCAACTCTTTGGTCAAATATAGAAGCATTCATCGAAACAATAGACCAAGAAACCCTGGAAACAGATCACCACGCAACTCACGTCAAAATCCAACACTGGCACACCGACATAGACAACAGAAACAATATCAGAACCCAACCCAACACCAGATACAGGTGGCACGAAACAAAAGATGAAAAATGGGAGGAATGGAAACAAGAAATAGAGAACCAAGTGCAATCAAGCTGGCTGAACACAGGTGGCGAAAGAAATTCAGTAAATAGGAAATGGAACATTCTCAGAGATGCAATCTTGAAAGCATTTTCAAAATACATCCAGAAGTACAAAGAAAAAAGACCAAGATCCAAACCACCCAGATCACAACATAACCTTCTACGACAAATTTCAAAGATCAAAAACTTGGGACGTAAACTCTCTCACAACATAGAAACAAACAAACCAGTCATGGAGAAAATTCACTCAAAAATAAAAAAAATAAAAAACAAATACAACATCACAATCGAAATCCCCGAAGTATCAGGCGACCACAAGCAAACCGCACTCTGGTTGGACAAACTCACCAACATTCAAAACACTCACAAAAAAACTCTTAAAGCAATCTACACTAACAAACAAAATGAGGCAATACAGGAACGCATCACACAAAGACAATTTTTTTCTCCACAAACAAAAAACAAATGATCAGAAACCTACTCGATAATCCCAAAAGACACATAATCCTGGACAAACTAATCTCAACAAACCTGGAAGAAGAGATAATAACAGACCCCCAAAAAATCAAAGAACGAGTAAGCAAACACTTCCAAGAATGGAACAAAAAACGTGACATCCAAGAAATCAAAAACATCATCTGGGAGAAAGAATACAATCCACTAAAATCAATTAACAAGGACTGGTACAGGAGTCTCATAAACAAAATCATACCAGAGGAAATCCAGAAAACAATAAAAACAAGATCATCTAAATCAGCAGCAGGTCCCTCCGGAATCCCTTATATAGCACTCAAAAAGTTGTCGCTTAAAACCATCACCTTCTTTGCAGACCTTTTCAACACCATTCTGGAGACAGAAGAGATCCCAACAGAATGGAAGCAGGGAAGCATATACCCGATACCCAAGCCAAAACCATGGGAAAACAACATAAACATAACAAGGCCAATCACCTTGCTCGAATCGACAAGGAAAATATTCACCAAAATCCTCACAGATAGACTCTCAACAATCCTAAACACATATTCCATCCTCTCACAACATAACTGGGCAGCTTTACCAGGAAGCAACACACAAACACCAATCCAAATACTACAATCAATCATCGACGACAGCAAACAAAACTCAAAAACAGCATACATCTTAAGCTTAGACATGGCCAAAGCATACGATTCAGTCAGCATCCAAAGACTCAAACATGCCCTCCTTCGTATCAAATGCCCAAACAAATTCATCAAAATAATTCTTAACATTTGCGACAACAGAGAAACTATGTTTTGACACCTTTCGGACTATCACCTAACTATACATTGGAAGACGAACTAGATCAAGGGGACACAATCTCACCCATCCTATGGAGAATTTTCTATAACCCACTCATATCAAAACTAACCAAGAATTATACAGGCTACACACTCACCTCAAAACAATGGGAAGACCCATCATCACCACCCAAAAAATCCCTTCAACAGGTATCAACCATAGCATACATGGATGACACAACACTCATCGCCCAAAGCCAACAAGAGTTACAAGAGATTTGTAATACATGCACAAGCTTCTATAGAATCAACAACATCAACATAAACGGATCCAAGTCTAATCTCACAATCATAAACAAAAACAAGAAACACTACAACGATACTATTACCATCCAAGACCAAGTAGTTACCGCCCTCAAACCGAACCAAGCAGCACGAATCCTAGGTGTGTATATAGAAGGCAGTGGCAAAAAGAACTTTCAAAAACATCTGATCAAAGAAAAAGTCAGCAAATTTGCAAATACCATTAAGTGGAAAGTTACTACAGACAAACAACTTAGATATATACACAATCAAGTCCTGATACCAGCCATCACATACCTACTCTCGGACACCACACTATCGGAAACACAATGCAACAACCTCATGAAACCACTAAATACAATCTATAAACACAAAATCGGTTTAGCAAAGACAGCACCCAACTCGATTCTTTACAATTCTCTAGAGTACGATATCTTCAATATCTGGGAAAGACAAATTCTAATGCACTCAAACAACTGGTACAAAAGGATCAACAACTCAAACACGATAGGCCAGATCACAAGAATGAGACTCCAAGAACTTCAAAACAGATGGTGGTCTACGACACCAGTCACCAGCATGCACTCAACAAGCCCATTTCTGCCCATGGGACAAGATCTCACATACAACATCATCATCCTCCTTAGACATTTTGGAATCACAGGTACACCAGCATCTCTTAAAACAATCCCCAAAACAGACACGACTATAGAAGAAGCAATGGGACCCCTTTGGTACCATACCAATAGAAAACAACTGGCAAAAAATCACATAATGTTCATCAATCAATTAACAAACTTCTCAGGCTCCCGGCTGGCCGCATGGGCAGAAATAACACATTACAACAAAAAACCTAACCGAAAGAAACCAAACTGGTTTAAAGAAATCCAAAAAAGTGAGATCCTGAAAGAACTAATTGAAACAAGACAAAAAGCACAAAATGTAACAAAACAAAGCTACAAAACATCAGCGGAGATTACAAAAAGTGAAACTAGATGGATCACCACAAACATAAACAAACAAAACATCATAGGCAGAAAGAAGACAATTAACCAGAACACAATTGTCGCCCAACATTACACAAGAATAGATAATCGATCCCCACTCCAAGAATGTTCAGGCTGCTCAATCGACACTGCACACAGACAAGGAGAATGTATTTTCCAGATACAAAGAAACAGCGGCACATGCATACCAGTGCACAAAAGCAAAACCAGCACAAGCAACACAGAGGATACATCCCTCCGACAGAGAATCAGGATCTCACCAAACAGCATCGAGAACATTATAACAGACAAATTCCAAAACCACAACATTCCAACACCACCTACAGTCGCAATTAATAAAAACATAAATCACAATCTAATAGTCAACAAATACTTACAAACAAGCACCACAAAACAAAGGGAACTATCGGAAATCAGATCAAAAATCGGAAGACTAAAGAAAATCACAGTCTTTACAGATGGATCAATGGACATAAACCAAACAATGGGCTTCGGTTGGCACATCAAAGACACAGAGGAGATTAACTTCCAGGGAAAGATCTCACTTTACCCATCATCAACAAGGACAGAATTAGTAGCAATAGCCATAGCACTTATATCGATGCCAGCTGGAGCAGACATAACAGTTTGCAGCGATAGCCAAGTAGCCATTAGTGGTATCAAAAAAGCACAATCAAATATCCAGGTACTCAGAACAACGAAAAACGCGAATATCATCAACACAATCACAACCATAATAAAAACACAAAAACTAATAGTCACATGGAAAAAAATCAAAGCCCACAGCTCCATCGCAGGAAACGATAAAGCTGACCAACTAGCCAAAGATGCCTGCAACCTTACACACGAAGCCGAGATAAAATTCTTACCAATACATAACCAGAAAATTAATTGGATACCAGAATGGGAAGGAAACATTATAGACAATACAATGTCCCAAACGATCACAGACATCAACAAAACCAAAAACATCATGGGATGGAGAATACTCAACAGAAATCTAACATCCATCAATCCTACAGTCAGAGAAAACATTGCATGGGAAGAATCACTTAGATACAGACATCCATCAAGGATCACCACAGGAGTAACAAACAAGATGGACCACAGCACCCGCACCTTCCGCTTAAAAATTTGGAACCTGGAGCTCCCAACCAAAGACAAACTACACGAAAGAGCAGCAACGACATATATCAACAATAGATGCATACGGTGCAACCAAACAGTAGAAACCAACACTCACAGCTTTTTTTGTGGAGACAAAAAACCAAAACTCTTAAAAAACCTTAATCAAATAATCAATGAAGAAGTAAGCAGCCGAACTAAAACTAAAATAAAAAATAAACTAAACAAAGATCTAAAAAAAGATCAAGAAACATGGACCGATGAAACACTCCACTTCGTAGCCAGGGGAGCTTTGCCCCAGAGCACAACACAAATAATTAAAAATTTTTTATCACAAGAAAAACAACAGTGCATAAAACAAATCCTCAGCAGATTCCTCAAATATCTGGAAAGCAGCTGGAAACTTCGATGCTTAGAATTCGCAAAATGGGAAGCAGAAAATAACATCACCTCTAAAGATAAAAGAACATGGTATCAAGGCAAAGTAAGGAGAAAAACACACATAGGGAAAGAATCTATAATTACACGAGAAACCAACAAGATAACAGATTTCGCTAGAGCGAATTGGTGCAACTGGAACACAATATATTCATTCAAAAACAATTTCAATCGGGACTAGTAGAGCCTTGGCAAATTAGCTAAGTATATACAAGTATTTGGCAATAAGCCGCGTGGTAAGATATTCTTT